CGATAAATTTATGCTGAGCTCATACAGCTTGGCTCTTTCCTCTGCAAAAGTTAATTACTTCAATACCCTCATAAGCACACTCTCCCGCGAACCCAAACGACTATTTCACACATTTAACTCTCTTGTCTCATCTCATGCCTTACACTCATTTTTCTACTCTCCAACCCACAATCGATCTCATCCTAGACCCCATGCATACAAAACCCATTCACACCTCCTGTCACTTTCTCTCCTCCTACTTCTAGCAGCTGGTGATGTCTCTCCCAATCCAGGGCCCTTCACCTTCTCTACACACACTAAGACAACCAGAAACCCCACAAATCTCATCACAATACCCTGCCCTTTACCCTCACTTACCAAAATTAATTGTGCACTCTGGAATGCCCGCTCCATCTGCAGTAATTTAAAATCAACAACCATACACGACTTTTTCATCTCAAACTCACACTGCTTGCACTTACAGAGACCAGGCTGTCCCCCTCTGATAGCGCTACTCCTGCCTCTTTATGTTTTGGTGGGCTACAATTCTCTCACACTCCCAGACTCAACTGTAAAGTAGGCGGCGTAGGCATCCTTCTCTCCCCTCAATGTACCTTTCAACCAATCATAACTCCCCCTGCCCTATCCTTTTCTTCTTTTGAAGTTCGCACTGTCCACCTATCTAAACCCACTCCTTTAAGAATTGCTATCATCTACCGCCCCCCCGGTTATCCTAGACTATTGATTGAGCACTTTTCTTCCTGGCTTCCCCACTTCCTCTCATCTAGCACTCCTTCCCTTATACTTGGGGATTTCAATATCCCAATCAATAACCCCAATTGCACTGATGCCTCTCGTCTGCTCTCTGTAACCTCCTCCTTTGACCTTATGCAATGGTCCAATTTAGCAACCCATACAGCAGGAAACACTCTTGATCTTGCCTTCACCAACCTCTGTACTGCCTCTAATCTCTCCAATATACCTTTTCCTCTATCTGACCATCTGCTGACTTTTGATATTGGCATACCTAAGATCCAATTGACACCACCGTCTGAACATCACTCTCACAGAAACCTCCAATGTCTTTACCTAGAGCATTTCTCCACTAATCTCCAAACTCTCCTTTTACCTATCTCAAACCTCACCTGTCCTAGTTCTGCAACCTCCTTCTACAATTCCACCCTCTCCTCTCAACTAGACATCATGGCACCTTGTACATTTAAACGCTGCAGGCCCCCCCAACAACAACCCTGGCACACCACGCTCAATCGATACCACCAAAAATGCTCCAGAACTGCTGAACGCTGTTGGAGAAAGTCTCACTGTGCATCTGACTTTCTCCACGATAAATTTATGCTGAGCTCATACAGCTTGGCTCTTTCCTCTGCAAAAGTTTATTACTTCAATACCCTCATAAGCACACTCTCCCGCGAACCCAAACGACTATTTCACACATTTAACTCTCTTCTTCGCCCTGCTGTTCCTCCTTCACCTACTAACTTGACCGCCTCAGACTTTGCAACTCACTTCACTGACAAGATCTCTACAGTCAGAGAAGAGATCTCTCATTTTTGTTCTTCCCCCTACAATACTTCCCCTAACTTCACTCCCTCTGCTGTTCTATGTTCATTCGCACCCGCTATATTGGAAGAGGTTTCTGCTCTGCTCCAGTCCTCCAGCCCCACCACCTGCTCCCTAGATCCAATTCCCTTGCATCTCATCCGTACTCTGTCTCTCTCTCTCTCTTCTGGTATATTTCCATTGCCCTTCAAACATGCAACTGTAACCCCAATTCTAAATAAGCCCAATCTTAACCCTAACTCCCCATCCAACTATCGTCCTATCTAGCTACTGCCTTTTGCATCCAAGATCCTTGAAAAAATTGTGTATGCGAGATTGACAGACTTCCTCGAGTCCTCGAGTCCAACTCTCTGCCAAACCCGCTTCAGTCTGGTTTCCGTGCTAAGCACTCTGTGGAAACGGCACTGACCAAAGTATCCAATGATCTACTCGCTGCAAAATCTCGTGGTCACTACTCTATCCTAATTCTCCTTGACCTGTCTGCGGCTTTTGACACTGTCGATCATCAACAGCTTCTTCTCATCCTCCGCAATATCGGTCTACAAGATATTGCTCTCTCCTCGTGCTCCTCCTACCTCTCCCAACGCTCTTTTAGTGTTTCTTTCTCTGGCTCTGCTTCTTCTCCCCAACTCCTCTCTGTTGGTTTGCCCCCAAGGTTCAGTCCTTGGTCCCCTACTGTTCTCCATCTATATTGCCTCCCTTGGTAAACTCATTAGCTCCTTTGGCTTCCAATATCATTTCTATGCAGATGACACGCAAATCTACCTGTCCTCTCCTGATCTCTCCCCATCCCTCTTGACTAGTGTCTTTGACTGCCTCTCTGCTGTTTCTAACTGGATGGCTGCCCACTTCCTTAAACTAAACTTAATAAAAACTGAAATTCTGGTCTTTCCTCCCTCAAGTGTTGTTACTCCTGTGTCTGTCTCCCTCCAAGTCAACGGTGCTACCATCAGCTCCACCACGCAGGCTCGCTGCCTAGGTGTTCTCTTTGACTCCGACCTCTGCTTCAAGCCTCATGTTCAATCTATCGCCAAATCCTGTCATTTCCATCTCAAAAACATTGCGCGCATCCGCCCCTACTTAACGCCAGATGCGACTAAGGTGTTGGTCCATTCCACTGTCCTTTCTCGCCTTGACTACTGTAATCTGCTTCTCAGTGGTCTTACGTGCTCCCAACTTGCCCCGTTACAGTCCATAATGAATGCGGCAGCAAGGCTCATCTTCCTGTCCGCCCGCACCTCCCATGCCTCACTCTTCTGTCAGTCCCTACATTGGCTTCCTATAAAATATAGAGCTCAATTTAAAATTCTGGTTCTTGCTTTCAAATCTCTACATATGCTGCTCCCACCTATCTATCCTCCCTTATACACAAGTATGTCCCGTCTAGGCCCTTACGATCTGCTGAAGACTTACGTCTATCTTCTGTCCGTACTCCCACCTCTGATGCTCGCCACCGTTACTGTGGAACTCGCTTCCCTCCTCCGTTAGATGCTCACCCAGTCTCCACTCCTTCAAAAAATCGTTAAAAACCCACTTCTTCATAAAAGCGTATCAATTAAACTGTTAATAGCTCCTGACTGATTCCTCTTCTGCAACTGTCACTAGTCTAATACTATCCTTACCTTTTTGTGTCATTTTACCCCACTCCCTCTAGCATGTAAGCTCATTGAGCAGGGCCCTCAACCCCTCTGTTCCTGTGTGTCCAACTTGTCTTGTTACAACTACATGTCTGTTTGTCCACCCATTGTAAAGCGCTGCGGAATTTGACGGCGCTCTATAAATATCATAATAATAATAATAATAATACTATATATTGCTTGTACTACACAAACAGAATATGTATCTGAATCACATGTGCAGAGTTATTTACTAAAGGGAGAAGTGAAATGAATTGCAAATGAATTTCACTTTTTATAGGCAGCGTAGCAAAACTTAAAACTTCGGCTATTTTGACCTTAAATGTACAAATCACTTTAAATTCTTACTTTAGTGCATAACCCTGATGGTATCTATAGAACTTGAAATGCAAAGAATGATATCAGGCAGGGATATCCATGATAAATGTCCAAATCCTACACAAAGATACATCAAACTACTATATATATAACTATCAAAAAAAGAAAGAGAAAAAAAACGATTACAGAGACCCGAGAGGTAAAAAATAAATAAAAATAGCAAAATGACTAATATATTGTGCAGTAGCAGTTAGTGTATGCCCTAGTCAAGATAAGGTGGCAGGGTCAGAGAAGATCAGTTATTAGAATAATGCAGGTACATGTTTGTAGGTCATATCCTCAATGGAATAGGAAAATCCAAAGACAGACATAGACAGACAGACAGACAGATCGATAGACAGACGCACGGATTGACAGATAGACAGACAGTCATGTAGATAGACAGACAGACAAGCAGACAGACAAATAGACATATGGATAAACGGATAGAAAGACAGACAGACAGACAGATAATAGGGAGATAGATAGAAAGACAGACAGACAGACAGATGGACGGATTGACAGACAGACAGACAGATGGACGGATTGACAGACAGACAGACAGACAGGCAGACAGACAAATAGAAAGACGGATTAATGGATAGAAAGACATACAGACAGACAGACATGTAGATGGATAGACAGACAGACAGACGGCCGGACGGATGGAGGGACAGACAGACAGCTGGATAGACAGATCATTGAACCAAATATTTTGATGCAGTCATGCTGGAAGCCCTGTGTATTTTTTAATTCATGTTACAAGCTTTTCATAGAATGCTTCTTGTATGTTTTGCTTAAAATCAAAGGATGAATTAACTTGGACTTCTTACAACTCTTGCTATATTTCTTCTAATAAGTACTTGGACATAGTATTGTTTTTCTTGAACAAAAGTTAAATTTTCCCATACACATTTTGAAAACAGCTGCCAAGGTGCTGGTGCATGGGGAAGCTGGAACCAGAGGAATGCTGTCAGTCTTGATTGAGAGAATAGTACTCAGTGGTATTTTCCCAGCAGCTGTTGCTGTTTGGTTTTAATTTGTTCAGAATCTCCACCAAGACCCCTCAGTTCACCTTCCGCTTAGAATATTGTGAGGTTCACGGCAAAAAAAAAAAAAAATAATAAATTGTCGGAATACAAAAATGTGCAAAAAGCCTGTGATTTTTGTTTTGTTTCTTTTTATTGTGGCAGCTCAGGAACCATTTTTATTCCATATTCGTCATTTTGTAAAATATGCACGTTCTTTAATGAGCAGGTGTATCGGAAGTACATAAACAATCTAAATCAGTTGTAGCGGAGGCCTGGTATTCCATAGGTTAACTCCACTAAAGATCCCAGTGAGGCTCAGGAATAGTGATGTCCCGAACTGTTCGCCGAACAGTTCGCGAACGGTTCGCCACGGACTCATCATTGAGTAAACTTTGACCCTGTACCTCACAGTCAGCAGACACATTCCAGCCAATCAGCAGCAGACCCTCCCTCCCAGACCCTCCCACCTCCTAGACAGCTAACTAAGAATGCAGCTTCACAATGGATGCTGTCCAGGAGGTGGGAGGATCTGGGAGGGAGGGTCTGCCGCTGATTGGCTGGAATGTGTCTGCTGACTGTGAGGTACAGGGTCAAAGTTTACTCAATGATGAGTCCACGGCAAACCGTTCGCGAACCCTTCGGCGAACAGGTCGGGACATCACTACTCAGGAACACGTGATGAAAAATCCCATAAAGTAATAATTCCGGCCAGCAAGGTAATCCAAGAATATCCCCATACAGATCCCAATGACTGGACGACACACAGCATCAGGAGCAGAACTAACTCTTATTCCACACAACCTCCTTTTAAGCATTCTCCCATGCAAGGGAGGGATTCACATTCATTAGTACAGTATCCAATGGAATAACAGTTACCTCCCACACATCTCCTCTCCTTAGTATGACACTTAATCCCATTACACATGTTATAGTTTTCCCCAAGTTCTGGATGTACCCTAAGATTAGCAGATACACCAATACTACCCCCTGGTAGCCCTGATCTGGGTGACTAACATATCCAAAATTCACCCAGATCAGACCAGGGGTTCGCGTGTTAGGTGGAGGGTATAATTTGACCGACTACACACGAGGTGGTATCCAAAAAGGGTTCCATGTGTTTTGGCCCTGCCATCCACTAATACATTTACGTTCGTATGATTCCCCTCATTCGGTACTTTAAACTTTCGCCTTCCCGTTCGGGAGTTACGGAGCTCTGAAGGTGTCAGCGGTGTTCGGGTAATTGAGTGTCCAATTTGAGTTCCAGACACTCGACGACCAAACACCGCTGAGCCTTTTGTGCGTAAAATGGCCGCCGCCACGTGTTCGCATGCCGAATGGCGGCCACCCAGATACATACATAAAACATCTATTAGTCTGCGGTTAGCGAGCAATGTGCAGCTTAACGAGGGACACACTTCACTCTGGGGTGGTCTATTGGTTCGGTAGTTTCCATTCGTATGAAATACGAATGGAAACCACCGAACAATCACACGAATTCTACTTACAATTAACTATACAGCAGAAATAACACACGAATTGCAGGATTCTCATAGTCTTTAAGGACAGCCATAGTACCATCCGCTACATCAGTATGATTAATGTGATCACTAATTAAGTCTGACTGTACAGTTATAGGAAAAATATGGGGTATGGTTGTTTTTTTTTTTTTGTTTGCATTTTTTCTTGCTTATTAGTTTTTGAATTCATTTATTTTAATCTTGTATCACCTAAATACGCAAAACATCCAGTAACACTATATGGCCATTAAACTGACCTTGTAATCCACAATCAACTTAATTTTTTGGTTGGAGTCATGTCAGTCTATATACATTATACTTGTAAAACTGCTACTAACTGTTTAAATTAAAAGGTATACTTACCTGAGGATTCCATCTTCATCATACGAAATGAAACCAGTAAGTGCATGGAACGGACGGCTGCCTTGCCCCAAGTAATGTCAACATCTCTCAATTTCCAGTATTTAAGTACACACCGGACCCGATTAACAGAGGGGCTGATGGAGCTACAGCTACACTGCTCTTCACATGCTCTTGCTTAAGTATGGAAACTTAAGAGGGATGTATAGGAACAAAACTTGTGTGGACTGGCTGACAATAAATTTAGTTAAGGTAATGCTGACTTTGGTCTCTCTAACACTGTGGCATGTCCCCTTTCTTCTACACTCACTACATACACATTTTCTCTATATACCAGGAACTTCTGCCTGCTAATAAGAAGGTAAGGAGACAAGTGGACCAGCAAGTGCTAGAGGACAGTCCTTAGAAAGTGTTGAGCGAGCGCATCATTAGATGCATTTATGCCAAGCTCAGGGTGCTGTCTGCATAGTATGCCCTAAATTGGCCAGCTTGCATGATTGGCAGGCAGCCTGACATGCATTCATGCCAGGCTGGCCTTTCAATTCTTTGGGCAGATACTGCTGTTAGGAGGTATGGATTTACTTGAAAGATGAAAGCGAGAGATTAGCATAGAGTATGTGTTTTCTCATAGCTGCATCCGATGAGTTTCCTTCCAGCACCATCTCCATAATATACATGACGCTTGGGAGGTACGACTATTTTAGTGTTTTTGGTCGATAAGATTCTGTAATTAGGCCCATCATAATTGTCCGCACCAGACCCACTAGGCTCTTAATCTGGCCCTGAGTACACATTATAAGTTGTGTCACATCAGTTTGTTGCAGGGTAGCTCCCCACTCACAGCTTCCAAAGATGTTTGTACTATTAGAGTCATTTATGCTAAGGAAGGTCAAAGAAATTAAGCATTGCATAACATTTGTCAGCAATCTAGCTAGAGCAGTCTATAGAATATGTTATAGCCTATAACAGGCATAGGCAACATTCGGCACTCCAGATGTTTTGGACTACACCTCCCATGATGCTTTGCCAGCATTATGGGTGTAAGAGCATTATGGGGGATGTAGTCTACAACATCTGGGGTGCCGAAGGTTGCCTATCCTTGGCCTATAACATGGCACAAACACTGTTTGAGTTGCTGGGAATTCTAACTGAATCAAAAAAAATAACCCAAAATAGCTGAACTAAAAAAAAAAATCTTGTATTCATCACAACAAGTGTACTTTAAAACAAATTACATTGTTTACTCAATAAATTCAAATAATCTAGACCTCACACCCGTCCCAAATTTCTGCTGGTCAATCCGTATTTTAGGATCCTGTACCGTCATCCACATTAAGTCCCCTGGTGTCCCACATTTGTGGACACTAACAAACTGTCCTTTGGCAGCACAGTGTGAGCACATAATTTAGCAGCGCTCTCTGTATTGTCCTGTTTGTTGGAGGCCAGCCGGCAGACAGTCTGTCATCCTACCTCCCACTGTGGCCACTGCCAGTGAAGTAAGGTGCAACACTGGCAACTGCCCCAAGGTCTCTCTTCCCCACATCCCTTATCCATATTCCCCAATTTTCGTCAGCATGGTAATCGTGGTGTAAATTATTGCCTAGTTCCCATAAAGTGTTCTCAGGCTTAGAATAAAATAATATTTGGTAAAAACATTTTTTACACAAGGGAAAATCATGTTTTAGGGAGGGAGTCAAAAGCATTGAAATAGATCACAAAAATTTACAAATATTCTAAGCAGTGGCAGAACTGATGTAGAGAGGTCCCCGTATCAAGATTTTTTGGGGGGCCTCCGTTTAGCGCAAGAGTGGCAAAAAATTAGATCTCCATCTGTCATGTAACTCTGTTTGTAGGCAGTGTTTGTGCGTTTGAATATAAGCATGTTTTTGTATAGAGTATGTATGCATTTAGGGGTGTATTTGTATGTACTGTTACCATTGTAATGCAGCAATGTACTTGTATGTAGAGTTTGCGTTTGAATGCAGAAGTGCGTTTGTACCTTAATGTTGGCTTTTAAATGCAGGTGTGCTTTTGTGTGTAGTGCTGGTGTTTGCTTAGAATGTCAGCATTTTAATACAGGGGTGTGTTTGTATGTAATGTTTGCATTTGAGTGCATTGGTGTGTTTGGATGCAGTGTTGGCTTTTAAATGTGGATGTACAATTTTATCACATGACAGGAGGCTTCGTATTTTGCATAATCTTTCTTTACTAACTCCATAGCAGCAAAGAAAAGAGTGACATAACTGAGAACCAATCACAATGCAGTATAGAGTATAAGAGGTGTAACGTATGACATCATTTCCTCTTTTTTTCTTTGCTGCTCCATCACAAGATAAGTACAGACTTGGTTTTCCTCTCTGTCCTTACACTATTTGTCATCTATATCTAAGAACTATTGTCTAAATATTTCTATTACAATTACATTTATTCATTATGTTATTTTAAGTGCTTCTGTATTGTTACCTTTGGGGGCTCTTCCCCCCCACCCCTCTGGCTCTGGGACCTTTTCCACTGCTTTTATTTGGCTTACCCCTTTCAGGGAGTCTTAACGGCATTTTCGCCGTTTTCACCTATACTTCCTAGTGTCAGTTAAATTCGCGGGTTCTTTCCCGCCTTATCGTCATTCGCACGTTTTTTCGCGAACGGCACTTCTGTTCGCATAGACTTGTTCCCTTTGACGAACGCCTAGCGTTCGGCAATTCCCGCGAACGTCTCATATTAGGCGCTTGCATTCGTGCGTATTAGCCGAACGCTTCCGTTCGGCTGATTCGTACGCACGAACGCCCGCCGTTCGGGTAATTTTTGCCGCTCAAAAATCTAGGGGAGGTACTAAAACCTCCCATTTCCTACTACTTTCAGTCCGGCGGCCATTTTAAACGGCTACTACTATCCTGCTTACTACTCCAGCCTATTATTACTGCCAGAATACTCTGGAATACTCTTTGAACTCTGCAGCCTTATCAGCTCACTGTGGGACCAGTATCAGGTTAGTGCTTTGCACTTGGGGTCGGTTTCAGCCAGTGGGAATACCCTTATTCTGGCAGGGGTGAGCCCCCTTTTATGTGCTGCTGAAAGGACCTGTTTATGCAGGATTCCAAATTCCTGGGTGAGCCCCAGTGACAGCCCTCGCTTGACCTACCAGTCGCATAGCGCTTTCAGGTTAACCACTACCTATTCTACACCACCCCCTGGTCCCCAGGCCTCCCCATTTTGTGCCACAAGTACCACAAGTGCCCTCACGCATATTCACCGGGTGAGCCCCGGGTGTGATTAACAACATGGAAGAATCCCAAAATCCCTCAGATCTCCAGGCCATGATTGCAGCAGCGGTTGCTGCATCCATGGAAAAAGCTTTGGCTAAGTCGTTCCAATTGGAACAGGACGCATCTAAGCCCATTCCCAAACGGGCTCATTATGGGGCGGATTCGGAAGACTCCGATTCCTCCAGGGAACGCTCCCACCCCCCTAAGCGCCATTGGAAAGGCGAGGCTATGGGACCACGTAAATCCAAAGGAAAGGCCCCTGCTAAACGCAGACGAGACACAAGCAAATCATCCCAAAAACCCGCTTAGGTTTCCTCTGGGGAAGAGGACGCAGGTCCATCACACGCGTTAGCCGTGGTTGACGAATGGCAGGCGGCAGCCTCCGACCAGGAGGAATCCGACTACTCCGCTGCCAAATCGGACCCTTACTTT